TATATATATATATATATATATATATATATATATATATATATATATATATATATGTATATATATGTATATATATGTATATATATACAGCTAATTCAAAAAAGGTTGTCCTTTGCAAACTTTAAACTCTAAACCTTAAACCTTAAACTCTAAGCGCGCAAAGCATAATGGGAGTACTGATTTCAAGCTTTGTAGTTGAATATTGCAGCTGTTTGTGAGTGAAATGTTTTCGCAGGCACATATATATGTATGTATGTATGTATGTATATATATATATATATATATATATATATATATATATATATATATATATATATATATATATATATATATATATATATATATATATATATATAGGACTAGATTTTTGTAGTGTAAACGCACTTCTGTCTGGCCTGGGTCAGGAAATCTGGACCTATCAGAACAGATGTTCCAGATTTCCTGACCCAGACCAGGGCGAAGTAGGCCCAGGCCAGGCTTAGGCTCGTAGTGTAAACACGGCTTTAGAGAATAATAGAGTTGTTTCAACATCTGTAGGTTAACGTAATATCATACTTTGTTAAGGATGCCAATCAGTGGCGTAACGTTCTATCAGGGGGCCCTCGGTTCAAAATTTTCGAAGGCCTCCCTAGTAGAAGTGCCAAAGGCACGAGTTGAGCGCCGTATATGCACGAGTTTTCTAGGGGTCGAGGGCATGCTCACCCAGAAAATTTTTGAATCTAGACTTTCTGAAATGCCATTTCACAGCCTTTGGGGATCAGAAAACGACATTGTGACATATCAGAGGCCCTGGTCATTGTTTTTGCTCTACAGCCTGAGCCTGGGGGCCCCCATTTGGCCCATTGGGGTTGGGGCCCCCCGGGTTTGCCCGGTCCGAGCCCATAGTAGTTACGCCACTGATGCCAAGGTTTTTAGATACATTGCTTTTTATGCATGCGATTTATTTTCTGGCCCCACCTTAGTTAGGTGTTTATCAATATAGACACCCAATCAAAAAGCGATGGTTGTATGATCTCATTTGGCTAATACAAGTATAAGGATGTTTGGCTTACGTAGCATTAATGTCTTTGATGGCATTGGCATGTTTTGATTCAAGTGAAAAACAAACATTAGATCAAGTTTCACTCGTACTCACCCTGTTGGGTTGCAGTAATGTGAGATGATCAAAGCGAACATCTTCGTGTAAAAGTTCTGGATTTTCTGAAGCAACGTCATGAAGTAACTGACAATTTCCAGTACCATTGTTAACTGCGCAGGTTTTTCTGAAGTTTACAGATCTGCATGATTTATCTTGAAGCATACACTGTAGGATACAATCCACTCCAGACTGGGCGTGAACAAATTTGATCACTTCACTGTCCAAACGATGACCTGAAAGGGTTAAAGATTGCATTTAAATTATTTTGGTTGGACATCGGATTTCCCAGGTCGTGTATTTTCTAAAGCTAGGCGAGAAATGAACATTAAAGTTATAACCATCTATTCTTCAACTTTGTAATGTACATGCCCCAGTCGTGTTAAAGTCTTCTCTTTTCTCCGGGGGCCCGCCCACCCAGAGTCAGAGTCTCAGCTACAAATCGTTGTTGCGGGAGTCAAAAATGTAAAAAAGGTTAACTGAAGCGAAAACGGCTTCGTTATATATCCGGGTTCGTGTATAGATTCGTAAAATAGAGTGTAACCACTTACAACAGACATTTGCTCCCATTTATTTATGCCCGATTTTATCGCACTTCTTCTTGTTTCGCAAAAATGTCTGATGTAGAATTCACAAAAACGTGAATTATTGCAACTACCAAGTTTCGAAAAAAAATACTAATTGTAGTATATCTGTATCAAGAATTTTTCAAAACTCACGTTCTTTCAAAATTGGCAGTGCGGTAAAAACCTGAATTTTCGGGTTTCGCGATAGTTCTAATGCCCCATAATGTGTGAGTTTATGTTTAGATGGATATACCGATATAGGTAATGGGAACCACTGACACTGCATGGTGTTAAAATGGATTTGAATACCCCCAAATTAGAGTTCCTAAAATTGCTTATTGTAATGTCAGAATGACGTATGGGCGCATGCTCGTTTTGTATTTGGTTGTAAAGGATAAAACAACCACGCACATAGTGTTGGCGGGTATAACTGAAATTATCGTACTTCTGCATGACTATAATATGAGCAATTGGCATCTATATACACACCCTTAACCCAATTCTAGAATTCTCACTAAGCCATGGCACCCATCCCACCAAAATCCGTAATCCAACAACTGATGAGAAAAGCTATATGGCATTATGTACAATTTCTATTTTAAGCATAACGTAACCAAACGTATAGCGTATTCCTTTGTTTCGTCAATGATATTTGCCAAAACTGATGATATTCCCCAGATGCGGTGTATGCGTCACGATACAGTTGAAGAAAACAACCTTAGTTCTATATACTTTCCCCTCAAAACTCTGATATTCCATCTCAGGTGTATGTAGCGCCGGCCTTAAAGATTAATCGCAGATTAATCGAAAACTTACCTTCCTTAGAGCCATCATAGCAAAAGTCGATTGCATGTCCAAAAGTTTGGAAATTAAAAAACATCAACAACCAAAAATGCAGGTAGACAAAAATAGAACGATCTGGTTTGAGGAAGAAAAATTTCAAAGACCGCGGACACCAAAGTGTTTTTCCAAAATTAGCTTGAAGTTGTGACATTTTAACACTACCTATGTACTCTATAGGTGATAATTCCTTTTTTTCTTCTCACGGTATAGCCACTTAGCCAGCTTGAATGAACATATATAGATATATTTCAAATTTCATACATGCATTCATGCGTGGAGGTCTATTGTTCACCAACCATTACCCATAACATGTTGTCATATTAAGATTGTTAAAACTGATGTACGGTGCAATTAAATTGCGTTTTATAATTTGTCTTTCTCTAGCTCTATGCATATATAAGTAAAACAAAATATTATAGCGCACATATTCCGTGCAATAAAATGAGAATTAACATTCAATAAACATTGCCCGTCGGCATATAACTAAAGTAAAAAATTCTCAGCATATAATATTACTTTTACAATGTTATAATTAATATTTTACAATGTTGGACATCCATGTATGTATGTACGTTTAATATATATAGTGATTTCAATCGACATCAGAATTATAATATTCTATATACTTGCTGCATTTTGTAAAAGTTATTATATTTTGAACAAAAATGTATAGTATGTTTATTACAACATGGAGTTGTGGAAAAGATTACTATATTTTTAATTAAAGTTATATATTAAAAGTTGAGTCCACAATTAAATTTCGTGTTTGCAGAACATGGAAAATGATGTATAGTTTTATAAATGTATAGTTTTATAAAGACGTATTTTAATACCTTTCCTCCATTTTCTATCTACCAAAATGAATTAAAAGCATGGTTGCAATTAAGGGTAACTACTGAACTAAAATGCAGCCAAATACCACAGTTCGTTTTTTCCATTACCGTTTTTTGGACACAGTGCAATATTACCGTATGTTATATACCGATTTTCGTTTTAGAACAAGCTTTGTAAAAAATGCCAAACCCAATACAGGAATCAGGTGATAAACAGTCATTGTTATTGTTTGCCGTGAATCCGAAGCGCATTTCAATTCTCGAGCTCCCGTTGTTAAAGACACCGAATCTCTCTTTATTGCAGTTTGGTCGTAAAGATGATCCTGCGATCAGTGACTTCCATGTATCCCTTTCAGTGGTTGTTTTTCGATATTGTCCATCTTCCATCAAACTGTATAGCGAACTTCCTTCGTAATCAAGCATCATCTATTTTCTGTCACCATTAACGGTCATACTAAGACATATTTTCTTGAAAGGAGTGTTCCAATGAGATGCCAGTTTACTTTCTTTCTCTGTTAGTCCTTCAAGTCCATCTTCAACTGCATAACCTTATTTGTTCGTCCAGTAAGGTGAATCATAGCCAAACGTTTGCTACAATAATTAGAAAAGCAATATTTTTGTTTAGTGATATAGGCTAGTAAGCTATATCCAATTTAATTTTTCGTTATCTTTTCCCTGTTTAAATACATCTTGTGCCAGTGTAGATAGAGACGATAACAAATAGTTGCGGTGTCTAGAATGTGTAACTATACCTGAAAAATACAAGCAAATTAAAATTTCGACGTTCCGAAAAAGGACTTACGTTCGAAACGTCGACGTTTTGCTTATATTTTCAGGTATTTACATGCATGCATGCATATCCTGGACACCGTTATAGCTATACTTTATAAGCACCTTATTTTAACGTGAATTGCATATCGATAAAAATCCATTCTGAATCTGCATGACTTTGTCTAACACTTGTTTGGTACACTTCATTCACAATTTTGATAACTCACATTCCACGTCAGTATTGTCCAATTAACAGGAATATAGTCATATAGAGTAGAGCGAAAAAAAAAATTGGAACTGATTGCATGATCCAGGTAGTGAAAGGCTTATACATGCAACTATCATCATAATTACCAAGCCTGGGAACGAGTTTGCACTATTACATAGGTAATTTTATGCCAGTTCAGATCAACATACACTATAATAACAACCAGCCATGCAAATTTATCCAAAGTTGTAAATTAGGTCGGAACAATATGAGTGAGCGTTAGCCAATTTTGTCTTTCCTCTCTGCATGTGTTTGTTATTTCTAAGTCAAATACTTATCTCCATCTGTTTTCATAACTAGTGTCCAACCTCCTTCCCACATCCCAGAATTGCGGTCATGTGACAGTAAACTGGATATTTTTGTGAAGTTCAAAGAGATATTCATGATGTATATTCGGTATAAATACATTAAAAAGTTTTAAATTATGATATTGAAATTGTGCATGCACGGTGACCAAAATAGCATAAGCTTTCGAGTTGGCCACCTTCTGTGAAGAAGCTTTGGCTTGCAGATAGTAGATTCCGTTCTTGAGATTGCTGAAAAGAATCGTATAATAATAACATTTATTTCTGGTGCAAATATACTGAAGTGTTATAGTATCGCACTCGGATGGTACCACACGAACAGGTGCATTTCATCTATGCTGCTGGTGTTGAGCTCCTGTAATATGCAATTGTCTGATTATAATTTTCTCTAGTGTTCTCCATTGGAGAAGAGTGTTTCCAGCTTGCTTCAACAGTTTAGGAATATCTGGCCTATGCTGGGCGTGTTTGCGAATCGAAAACTTAAATGCTGATGCTAATCTTTAAACATTAATTGAAATTAATAGTTAGGAACGGAGGGTACTTATACGGATCGTCTTCCAATAATTTTTTGTATGAACTTTTGCTTACAATTCCGGTCTAAATATGGAAGAAAAATCGTAAGGATGATAAGGAGTGAAAATTGAAAATGGAATTTGTTATGTTTGTGCCGATTTTATTTCGATTGTTTGCAATATGCCTATACTTAATATGTCTGTTTCCGTGCATCATGCACTGTGCAGGAAATTTTATTATATGAATTCATTGTCTCGTTACAACAGATTATGCGTTTTTATAGAAATATGGGCATGAATGTTTACAGAGAGCTGTGGGATTGAGAGAGGTACAACTGTATCTGAAAAATATAAACTTCGACTTTCGACCTTCGTCGGGAAGTTAGTAGCTATACCTAAACCGACAGCGACCGTTCGAGATGGATGTTCACAGTGCAAGTTGCAACAAATTATTTTTTAAGACCAGCTATCTTTTTATGAGCGCTATATGGAGTATATAGTAGTTAAACTGTTGGAACTCTGCATGACACCTATACTAGATTGTTTTTTAAAAGATTGCCTACTACCTATACCAGATTGGACCTACTAGTCTGACCTCTAGATTGACCTACTAGATTGTATGTAAGTAGTATATAAAAGTGAATGAAAGTATTCATCTTCGTATAGAAGCTCTGCATTTTCTGAATCGAATCCATGTAGCAATTCATAATTTACAGTGTATATCATTGTTATGATTGCATTTAGCTCTACTGATACTTGCCCTGTTTGGCTGAAGTAGTATGTGATAATCGAAGTGTTCGTCTTTGTGTAATAGCTCTGGATTTTCTAAATCAACGCCATTAAGTAACTGACAATATCCAATACCATCGTTAACTGTTAAATTGTGGAAACACCACGTAAGTTTATTAATGCAGTAATAAATTTACGTGGTGTTTCCACAAACAAAGCTATTATATTAATTTAAATTGTTCTTCCTCTTAACGTCCCTTGAGACATCAAGGGTATGACGAAATTTCAAATCGAATGCTTTTAATTAAGGTTTTCGTTATGTGTCACATATTAATGGTACTGGACTCTGCAGCTCAGTTGGTTAGAGCTCTGCACCGGAATCGTATGGCGGCAGGTTCGATTCCTGCCGGAGGGAGGGCATATAGTTGGATTTTTTGCAGCTGCTTCTGCATGGTTAGATCTAACTAGATGTATATAATTTACACGTACTCGAAATTTCCATCTACAAAATCTTTCAAAGTTGGTGACTCCACAAACCTGTTTCTTTGCAGTAGTTCCTTACAAGATGATAACAGTTCTTGATTTGCTAAACAGAGTAAAATACAATTCTCTTAATTATTATAACTTACGAAGTAAGTTTTTAATTTAATAACATAGTATATAGATTATTAATTTTTTTGGTTAAATTAGTATATTGGGGTTATAATAATAAAAACAGGATTATCTTATAGTTTAAAAATTATAGTATTGCGCTCCGCTTCTTCGTTTACGACTCTAGTAGAGACAGTGAATCATGTAAAAATCGTAAAGGGAAATTGACAATTCGCATTATTTTTATCACTGAAATCATTTATAGACGATTTAACGTTCGCATTATTATGAAAGTTGACTACAAACATTAATATTTTTTATTACCCTATTGATTGTTACCCTATTGAAGAAGTTAAATACAAATATATTTTTTATGTTTTGTGAGCTCACGTCAACCAAAGCATTGTTGTCAAGTATATCAGTCTTCAATTTTCACTGGCGTTAATTGTGGGGCGAGTGCGAGAATAATTTCGGCAAAAAGTAGCGTAGATTGTGGAATAGATGCTGGCAATTACTCCGCTGAACCTTTTCATACTGCGCAATCAATTTCTTAGTTGTGTTCATGGTTCGGGATGTTTCTAGAAATTAAGAACAAAAATGATAGTTTGCTTAAAGGATACTGATTCCCTAACCATATTCCCGCTGATCATGCATGCTGCTCGTGGAACGAGTTCAAATCGTATATGCATAAAGAAAAACTCGCATAAAATATTTTTCACTGTAATTTTCTGGTATATATACCATATAATGTCATGCATGGGGGCCGGCCATGTTGGAAGAATATTTAAAAGCAACTATTTATTTTACAGTTGGAACGTGTTTTCCTCGATCCAACGTGGTTTACATGATACACCGAGTATCTCCCCTGGGATCGAGTTCCCAGGAGAAAGGGACGAGTTTCCGGCAGAAAGATGCGCAATCTCGCCTTTTTGGTGAATCTTTTCCCATTTTGGCTGGGAAACGCGGCAACTCGCGTTTGAAATAATAACTCAAAAATACATACAAATTAGGTATATACAAGCTTTCCCGAATTTCCCAGCGCTTATTCTTGTATTTTCACGATATTTTGTAATGATTCTTAAAGGTTATAAACGACTTGAATCCTATTTGTGTTTTTGGAGCTATTTTGGCGTCATGCATGC